TTGGAGACCAGCCTAAAATTTGACCTTGTTTGACCTTATTTGACCTGAATGTCATGACCTAGGAACCTCAAACTTTGGCCTAAGTGAGTTTACGTACAGGTCAACACACTGAAAATTTAGTGCTCTAGCTTTCTTAGTTCCCGAGGTCTCAGGGGGGGGGGGGCAAATTGACCCCCACCCGAGCGAAGGGTGTCTAGCCGGCCACCCGGGTGCGTGCTAAACATTATCCAAATTTTCCAATGACTTCGCAGCTGTTTATCATCCGTAATGTTGGTCACCTAACATTACACCCGCCACCAAAGCCAACGAGCGCATTCTTGTGCTTTATCTTCACACTGATTCGAACAACAAACAAATATAGAGGGCCAAGGTCAAGATTTGTCCATGTCCATTAGGGTCAAGTCCATATCGGATCACGATCAGGCCACCAGGCGATCTGTTCAGATGTGATTTTAACTCTTTTCCAATTGACATGTTTGCATGCCCGAATCCGCAGGTGAAATACAAGTCAATGGTTCGAAAATGTACCGGTTGCATCCGCCTACGCATAACTAATCGCCGTAACAAACCACTGGTTCAGCATTTGCAAACTGCGGTCGCACGACTACTGATGGTGGCATGGTCTGCAGCTCATATTGTGTAGCTGGATCTGACTGGCAGACCGTCAAACCAGGCTATGAAATCCATAAGAGCCATAAAAAACATTAAATGTAGCCGCGCATTACTGCATGTGAGGTACGGATCGTCGTACAAACCTTCGCTAATGACACCACAATGCAGTGATCTAAAGTAGAAATTATTTATACACTAAAATGTGGTGAACTGATCACCTGTCGCGTGCTGAATATTTGAAGAATCTTCCGGGCACGCTACACAAGTTATTCGTGAACTACAGTGGGTCTATTTTTAACCTCTCCAAGCAGTCGTGGGATATGGCCGACGCAATGTCATGATATATATTCAAGAAGTTGCAGGGTTTCTCAGTTATGCTTAGGATATGTGATGCAAGACCGGTTTTCAACTCAGCTGCGTCGATTCTGACAGTGTGTTACACATTTCCTTACATCTTTTGATAAACCTCATATATTTGGTGTCAGCGTGTTAGCGGTTGTGACTGAGGCGCAGACAAACGACGAAAATGTCTGTTTTCTCTGCAAGCTGACATGACTGGCCCCGGTAATCAGGACCTGCTTCAACAGCTATCTGAGCCGTGCCCCTCTTTGATATTTCCCTGAAAAGCACTTTGTTCGTATAAAGGGCTGTGTGAGCCTCTGACTTTAAGCACAACTGTCCTACACCCTTCTTGGAGGCATTCCATTTGTCAATACCAAACGCTGAGTTGCATGCGTAATGCTCGCAATGTCAGCACTTGATGGATGTCCTATCATTGTGGTCCAGTGCAGCGCAAGACAGAGCCTCTGTTGCTTGAGCACGAATACCTTGCATGTCCTGAAATACCGGCACAGTCGGCTGGAAGCAGACACAAGTGGTCCGGCTCAGACGTCTCAAGCGCCCCTCACTCCATCGGGAAAGTTTTGTCGGCAAAAGCAATACATTAAGTGACCCCGAATGAGATAAAAGCAAAACTCTGTAATCGATTACCACTGCAAGCCCCTTCTTGCGCGGCGCGCCGGCGAATAAAGACGCCGGACGGCAGCCGGGCCGCCAGCCGGATCAATACCGCCATTCCCCGGCAGAAGCGACCCGGCCCGTGCAGCTCCGCTCAAAAGAAGCGCCAGATCGTAAAGCATGGCGGCATCACGTGGCCGGGAAAAATATGAACGGCGACGGGCGTAATGGGCCGTGTTGGCGGTTTGTGGTCGCCGCTAACGAGGCAAGTTGGGAGGTTCGTACCGGGGCGGGCCGAGCACGCGGCCGTCTCGCCGCCAGCCCGGCGCTCTCGTGTCGAGCCCCGCCGCAACTTCACCGCTGAGTGATCCCCCGGTCCGCCGCTATGACAAGATGTCCGTCAATTTTACGACGGTCGTTTGCAAAAGACTGCGCCCAGCCCGGGGCCATAACCCGGACAAAGTTTCCGCGCCGAGCCGTGATTAAACGATCAGCAGTGCGGCCGACGCGGCAGACCGCTCGCGCCGCGCCGGAGGCCCAGGGCGGGGCCGCGGCGGTGCGAGGGGGCGGCGGGGGAGGGGGGGGCAGTGAGATAAGGCTGCACTCAGCCCGGGTCGGGCAGGGCCTTTGAAGGAAACCGCGAAGTGGCGGAACTTCCGAGAAGCGGTTAAACATTCATGTCGTGTCTCTTTTCAGTGGATTCTTTCTAGGCCAGCTATCTTCACGACGCCAATTATGGGCCAAAGTTGGGTGTCCGAAGAAGAGTGCTCTAGCTTTGTGGAAATGTTAACGAGAATAGAAAGAACGTTTGGGACGGAAGGCAACAAATCGTTCCATGCCGTGCATCACACAACCGATTCCAGACTGTGTCGGGATGTAGCAATAAACACATAATGCAATTCTGTTTTTGGCTGCACTTAATGCAGCATCAACTAACATCATGCCATGCGGCGACCTAGAATCGAGCGAAACAGTGGAGGGCGTCCAGAATATAATGTCGGGGCTTGAACCCTAAAGAATGTTTCCCTGAGCGGGCCGGGAAGCGGGAGATACCTGATCGATAGTTTTCGCATCAGGTGCATGGCCCAGACACGGCTCTTAGAAGAACCGGCGAAGAACCTGCTCTTAGGTGCCGTCAAAACAAAAGTCCATTGTAGGCTGTTGCCGGGGGTGGGGTTGAAAATCAGACATCGAGGACCAGCCTCCTTTCAAGGTCTTTCCTACGAGTGACATATGACACTAGACACAAAGAGCAGCTAGTATTGACCACATTTGCATAACCCAAGCCACCTAACCTGTCCCAAATGGAAAATCCCAGAATAGGAATTCATGAACCAGGGACTATCATGACCGTCCCGTGCCGTTTCGCTCCTTCATTTCCTCGAGCTCTGGTGTTACAGCCAGCGGGTCTTCTTCAGCGACGTGGACGGTTCTGGTGACGCAGGCCACAGCCCCACCGGCGTCGAAATGAACCGTCACCACACTTGCTCCACGTAGGCGATACACTTCAGCTCCATCCTATCGCTTACTTTCACGGGCGTTTCTCGCAAGACATCATCGTTCGTGCCAACTGATAAGGTCGCTAGCACGAGCCCGCAGCATGTGCATTCGGTTGGCAACCAGCTGGTGGCCGCGGCACAGCCGTGGTGGAGCGCTTCTAGCAGTATGTCACTGTAACACAGCGCCCGTCCGCCAATGGCGCATCCTGGAGTTTCCCCGGAGCGGTTTCAGCTCATATGCTGCTGTCCGCTGCTGCGCCGCGGCTATCATCAGACCTGTGCATGCCGTTCGATTAAGATCCAGGGCCTTGACCTGACCTTAGTAGAATATCATGCACGTAAGTGTGTGATGGAGAGAAGACAGCGAAATACACGAGGGACAATGGGGCAAGTTGAACATAATACAGACCGTTCGTCGCTACCCGCAAATCGTTGATTTCATGCTGGTGAAGGAACCTTTTAGTGGAACATATGGTCTTGTACGACCATGCTTTATGGTGCGAATGCGTGCCTCTCCAGGGGCAAAACCAACGGGGGGGGGGGGGGTCAACCCCCTTTAAACATGGATGGCTTCTGATGGAAAGCTAAAAATAGGCGTGATGCCTTTTCACCTAGCTACACCTAGCTACGCCCCTGTATAAATATATATATATATATATATATATAATATATATAGTACACCTTAGCATACGTGGTTGGCACAGTTGACGGTCATTTGCAGCGTGGTCAGGTAATAAGATGCGCTCGTTTTCATCACCGTTGGAAGTGTTAAAACTAACAGCGTTGTTACAATGCACTAAGGTGCGTTTTTATAGGTGAAGTTACAGGGCGATCCTGGCTAGGGCACCGTACAAATATCCTAATTAATTAACTCAGCCCGGCTCCTCACGGTCAGCACACTTAGTAAAGTGATACCTTTGTAGCCACTGGTCGTTGCTTCACGCAGTTTTCAACATGAACCATGATTTTCTGCAACAGTGCATCGCAAGCAAAGTATGTCCTCGTGCATTCGGCTACCACGGCGTTCGAGAATTTCACAATTGCATTTAAGTTGCGCAACTCGGGTCAATATAGATTATACAACTCGAGCTCCCGCCGTCACACTGGCACGAAAATAACACAACGTGATGGAAGAGGAATGGTGGCGGGACTGACCAATACAAAGCATGTGGACTGACGTATGCAGCCGGTCAGTCACGTTCCACCTTAAGCCGTGATGGGGCCGAGGATGGCCCCTTATGGGGCGCTGAAACTACTGACGCCGAACTCCCACGACCGGAGCAGAGGCAGGAAACTCGTTGTCAATGTATGCATAATGGACCGAGTGCATTGACTACTTTGCCGCGATAGCATGCACCCAAAACGTGGTTGTTTTTGAAACGCTTCTATTCCATCAGCCAAGAGCACATTGCATGTTCATCAATTTATTGACTGAGTTTGCCAGGCTTGAGCGAAGCCACGGACCGCCCCAGCCGCGAACTTACGCTCACTCGAGTCTGGTGACAGACATGACTTTCCAAAACACCGATCGTGCCTAGTGCCTATTTCAATGGGTGTGTTCTGTTCCAAAAAGTTGAAGCTTGACATTACCTGCATGACAGTTTGCATTCCTACGAAATCGTTACCAGACATAATTTACCTCCAGCATAACAGGAGGCAGAATGCAAACCAAAATATGCAAAGCGGCGTCATACTGTGACACCACTGTTCAGCCGACTTCAACTTAATTTAACCCCCTGGTAAATTGAAGGTCACTCAATCTCGGCACAACGACCACAATACCCAAACCAGAGGCTAAAAGCGCCTCGCTTGCATTAAATTAACATAACTCCAAGTCCGCTCTACCCGAAAGTTTCATATCAGCTGAACGCCAATATGTCTGTACCACACGTTCTAGTACTCCTAACCCGGTGGCTCGTACACACCGCCGGGTCACACTCTTGCAACATGTATTTGCGAATGCGCCATCCGGGAAGCACGGGTGGAACAGCCGGCTGCTACTTCAGCAGCACGTTATGGTACTGTTGAAGTCCGAAGAAATTTCCGCGACACTTCTTTTTCGACAATCCTACTTAAAACATGTGACTAAGTTCTTTTCACATTATGACATAACACAAACATTTACATCATCAGGTCCCTGCTCATTTGCTCTAGATCATACAGTTATGTGCTTCGCGAACATCACGTAAGTCATTCTTGGCCGTCACAAGCTGTTTTAAGGGACTATCAAATCGGCCACGGACGCTTCATACGCTGTCCTGTGCAATCCGCACAAACGTATGTACATTCAATTGTGAGCCATTTCATGAAAACTCAACATCGTTGAGTGCCATGCCATTGCTCGTCACTCAGTTCTCTCGTACAGAACGGTCCATGCATCAAAGATGTTCAAACGTGTTTTTATGGGAAGTTGCTTGGGTGCAACTTTTGTAGTCACAGTGACGCAGTATGAGAAGCCCGCTGCACGTTATGTCTCGGACAAACCGAATCTGAGCACCCCCTGCGGAGCGTGCTCTTAATACGAGTCGGCTCTCCTCGGTCGCCCACTGAACCAATACAACCACACGTGGCGTCCCTGTACGGAGGCGCACTGGCGCCACCTGTGTGACCCAGGGCAGCCATCCGGACCCGGCGTGCTACACTGCTCGCTCCGTCCGCTTGGCGTCGTTGGACATCGCGCAGAGAGAAAAAGCCTACGAGCATGGACCACGCGAATAATTTCTTAGCACGACAGCACATGACGCACATTCTCCCTGGCTCGAAGTCCACCATTACTACTGGCCTCAGAGGCGCCACATGGGAGGCAGCCGTCCCCGGCTCCTACCACGGTACGTGGCGCCGCGTGCCGGCCGCTGCTACCGATACCGAGACTTCGGGAACAGCTGCTCGGCGTTCTCCTGCAGGAAGGCCAGCAGCAGCGTGACGTGGTGCACCACCAGGTTCAGCTTGCGCTCCGACATGTGCATGTGCAGCAGGATCTCGGGCAGCAGCGCTACGGGTGCCAGACAGCCAGTCAGCCAGTTGGTCATCGAACTAGGCCAGTCAGCTGGCGCCGCGCACCAACTGCGGACCTTACTAGGTACGGCCGGCGGCGCTCAGCGGCGCCGCGCCGCGGGCACACACCCCTGGTGATGTCATCCAGACGACGAACACCTACAGCGCGCTCGACCGCATACAAGTGACACACTGGCAAGGGTGGGAGGATTTGCATTGCATGGCAAACTGTGAGTGCCTATGGTTGACCACCATGCGCGTTTCCAGCACTAGTACCAAGTACAACCGCGCACTTTACCAGCAGAAACGCCAGCCCTCTGCCTGGTCACCCGGTCACCCGGCCCGTCACCGCTGACTAACCGAGCAGCCGCAGCAGGTGAGTGGGGCCGTACACGCAGCACGGCAGCGGCGGGTTCCGGTTCAGCTCGCTAGGTGGCAGCAGCGACCAGGCGGCGCGGTCCGTAGTGCTGGACTCCGAGCTGAGAAGCCTGCCGGGCGCGCCAGCACGGTCACGGCACAGCGCCCAGCGCACGCTGTGCGGCCCCGCAGCCGCTCCAGGGCGGTGCGCCGGAGTGCTCTTGTGCAGCACGATAAAACGCCTCCAACGAAGAGGTGTGGTTGCCGCGCTTCGTGATGCTGAGCTTGCGTGCAGTGAAAATTTCTGTTCATAATACATCGTAGCAAATAGAGCGAACAAGGTCAGATCTGATGCGAGCGTAAAGTAACTTGCAAAACACGATCCGTACATACAGTTCAGGTGAGAAACGACCAGGTGAGTTCAGCACAGGCTTGTGACACCATGGCATGGCGCGAGGGAGATCCATCCGAGTTTGTGTCCAACAAACGGGCTGGAGGAAAATTGTCACCTGCATGGTAACTGTCGCAATCTAGGCCGTTGTTCTTGAACGCCTTGACATGCGTTATCGTAAGGACTTAATTGTGAAACCAAATGCATGGTGCTCACTTCTGTGCAGCATGCATAGAAGGGTAGCATAAGTCTGGTTGTGGCATGCTTTCATCAGAGATCAGTGATTCGCATTACCAGCTGAACCAAATGAACTATCAACTTGCCCACCATTGGGCTGCAGCGTTCCTGTGCCCGCACCCTGCGCCATCCAGCGTAACAGTTCCCCCATTATGAGTCGACTTCAAATCCCTTACATGCAGAGTTTTGTCTCGACTCATCGAAGTGACAAGTGTTAAACGGCAGGGAGCCGAAATCTCGCACAGAACGACCACGGCTGACCAGCAGCCGCTGCCAGCGAGCCGTCTGGACCTGCCCGGGCCCACCCCAGCCGACGTACCTGCGCTTACAGTCCGGCTGCTCGTCATCCGAGCTGGCGGCGCAGTCCGCCGACTCGGAGTCGTGGCGCGGGTGGCGGCGCGACCGCAGAGTCATGCGCGACGCCGACTCGTCTGTGGACGGGGCGCGGCGCCGTCAGAAGGTCAGCGCCGACCGGAACGGCGTGGCGCGCCGGCCGGCTCGCCGCGGCACCCTCGGAAGGTCAGCGCTGACCGGGACGGTGCGGCGCGGCGGCCGGCTCGCCCGCGGCGCCGCTCAGGTCAGCGCCGACCGGGACGGCGTGACGCGGCGGCCGGCTCGCCCGCGGTACCGCTCAGGTCAGCGCCGACCAGGACGACGTGGCGCAGCGGCCGGCTCGCCGCGGCACCCTCAGAAGGTCAGCGCTGACCGGGACGGTGCGGCGCGGCGGCCGGCTCGCCGCGGCGCCCTCAGGTCAGCGCCGACCGGGACGGCGCGGCGCGGCGCCCAGCTCGCCGCGGCACCCTCAGGTCAGCGCCGACCGGGACGGTGTGGAGCGGCGCCCAGCTCGCCGCGGCGCCCCTCAGGTCAGCGCCGACCGGGACGGCGCGGCGCGGCGCCCAGCTCGCCGCGGCGCCCTCAGGTCAGCGCCGACCGGGACGGCGCGGCGCGGCGCCCAGCTCGCCGCGGCACCCTCAGGTCAGCGCCGACCGGGACGGTGTGGAGCGGCGCCCAGCTCGCCGCGGCACCCTCAGGTCAGCGCCGACCGGGACGGTGTGGAGCGGCGGCCGGCTCGTCCACGGCGCCGCTCAGGTCAGCAGCACTGGCGAAGCACGGCTTGAAGTGTGCCCTCCCTGATCCCACCACACGAGCGGCGCGGAACCACATCCATGATCGGACGCACACAGCCCCGACTCCCCACCCAGTCCGCAGGGGGAGGGAGGGGGCTTAGTTCTAGGACCTGACAATCCACACCAACAGCGTCAGGCCCCTCCTCCTCCTCCCTTTAAGGACCTGACGCTCTACGCCCTGAACCTACCCCGCACCATACAACCTCTGACTCCACCCCAGCATGGGCAGCCCAGGGCAGAATCCTCTCTCCCTCGCCGGCGTCAGCGCAGCCCGGCAGGCGCCGGCTGACGCCGCTGTGGAGCGCCGCCCGACCGGCGGTGTCGCGCCGCGCCGCTCACCAGTGCGGTCCGAGCGGACCGAGGCGTGCCTGGCGCGCTCCTCCGGCGCCGCGCCCCCCGGCGCCAGCCAGCGGCCGTGCTGCTCCCGCTCGCTGGCGTACAGCAGCTGTGAGCCCACCACGTGGTCGAACGTGATGCGCAGGCCGTCCACAGCCTCCTTGCACAGGTTCACGCTGCAACAGGGCGTGCCTGCTGAGGGGCAAGATCCCCGCGCGCCGTGACAGACACCGCGCGTTCGGCCGAGTGCCGTGGCAGACAAGCGCCGCGTGCAAGTTTTGTTTGACGCCGCTGACGACGTTACCAGTCCTAACATGACGTCCTTATGTGTCGGAAAAGCAGCCAACAGTTGCGATCAAGATGTTGGTGACGTGCGCACACAATGTGAGGGACTCGAAAGCACGTGCTCCGATCCGAAGATGGATACGCGTGTGACATGTACGCTGAAACTTCTTCGAATGACAATTTCCGGCGCGCCACCCAGTTACGCATTGCCAGTACACACTTGCCGTTTTCTAAAGGACACTCGTCCGAGTTGTCGGACGAGCGCAGACAACACATCACAAAAACAGTGTTCATTTCATCCAACTGCGCACACATGTCCGCCCTGGGAATGCCAGAAGTTCTCGTTCAACACGCACTGGACGGCCCCGATGCGCAAAACATAAACCAAAAGCAATCAAAGCCATAAATATACGATTTGTAGCGTGGGCGGACACCGCTAAAAGCCCTTGAGAGCAGATTTGGCGACCCTTGGTCAGTGCCATCTACATCAGGTCAAATAAAAGTGTATTTTTCACGCATCACCATCAACTTTTACGCGTTGTTCTCTCCTATAATTCCGTGTATCTTCACACACCCAGCGACTTCCAAGGTTCTGACCGGCTTTGGACCTATTTTCCAAACGACGCGTCGGCTTAGTGTTTCAGAGTGGACAGAAAATCGCATACGCCAATTTCTTTAGCGTGGATACATTTACAAAAGAGCTCGGTTTGCGAACCACTTTGCGATTCGCTCGCTCACGACCAGTTTTGTTGACAAGAGGGGTCAACAACAATATCACAATTCATGACAGCAAAACAAAACCATTTAGCTGGCTTCCATACCACACCTTTCTCCACATGCCCTGGAATTCAACAGTTCAAGCGTTTCAAGCAAGGGAGATCGTGCTTGCGGGGTAACTTGGGCACTGGTGTCACGGTCGTTGTGGCCGGTGGGTAACAGTCGTGTTTTGCTGATCGCACTTCGTTGTACGCAGGAAAGATACATTGCCTCCATACGTCATGAGCTGTGTTCCGCACCACATTGAACCCATGCACAGTCAAGTCACTGGCCGCAGCACCACACTGAACCCACGCGCAGCCAAGTCACTGGCCACAGCACCACACTGAACCCATGCACAGTCAAGTCACTGGCCGCAGCACCACACTGAACCCACGCGCAGCCAAGTCACTGGCCACAGCACCACACTGAACCCATGCACGGTCAAGTCACTGGCTCCACACACATAGCCAAGGATTTGTCAGGTGACGCGAATGCAGCTGGTTGACGGTGGGCGGATTTACTCCGCGCACGCCGTATCTTCTTTAACTTGCCAGGTGATGCCATGGTGTCTCTCAGGACATCGGACAGATCGGCTGTTCCCTCGGTACGCGCCCACCGTCTAGCCGCATTTACGAGCTCTTGAGCGTCGTGGTCTCTTGACATAAGTTTTGAGGCCCGTCGCTTGGTTCTTTCGCTCAGCTCGGCACAGGGCATTATGGGGCGTCTGCCTGAACTCAGCGACTGCCGTCCGTCATCAGCTGAGCCGGTGGGCTCCTGATCCCCGAGAATCGATATCACGTCACACGTAAAAACGACACGTTTTAGCCAACACTCTGGTCTCGCGACGCCCATATTTGTTCCCCCTGTCTTACGTGGCTCGAACAGAGTTAGATAAGGCGCGATGTAGCTCTTCCCCATATTCGTCCGCTAGCTCGACGTCATATTTCATCTTTGCTAGGCTTACTCCCAGCTCAACTGCTCGCAGCTTGCTGTTCTTCTCTCGCTTTGAAAACCTACAGCAGTCGATGCGCCCAAAATCCCAAATCATCATCATCAGCATCTTGCTTTGAAAGAAGGCCTCCTTTCACTATTGCGTCAAAGACGGCTGCCTTGCCACGTCACGCTTCCATGCTGCCGCTTGATGGTCAGAGAACGAACCTCACCCGCACGCGGATGCAGCAATGAGCCGACCGTCTCCCTCAGTCACTCGGAACGCGTCCGATGGCTGACGCTTGACCAAGCACTTAACCTGAACCCCTCCTCATCCTCTGTTGAAAGTAAGTGCGACCACCGCATCGTTCGTCCCAGAACGTGTCAAATGTCAGCCCATTCCCCCGGTCAGCCAGGCAAACCGGGTTGGCTGCCGGCCAGGCGCCGCGCCGTACGGTGGCCGGGCCGGTCGGGCGGCCGGCGGGATCCGGGATTACTAAAACCTTCATTATTTTTGGACGAGTTCTGCCGCCATGATTGTTGGAAATTGTTACTGAAACATAAGTGAGCGCTTAGAACACATTTAAAAGTGGGCATTGGCACAGCCACGTGTTCTAGTGTCATGCAGGCGTTGTAATATCACGCATTATTTCTAACTTAGATGATGTTTGGAACAATATCTCTATCATTAATTGATAAAGCACAATCTGGCTATACTTTTGATACCAATATTTTTGGATCTTTTTATATTTATTCCCAAAGAACATGCGACAAACATTCTGTCAATTTATCGCAGAATGAAGGCGCCGCATAACAATAAATAAGTTCCGGCTCCACACATATGTGAAACAAATGCAAAGGGGATCAGGTGAGTTCCGTGGGTGATTTCACGTTGTCTGATCGATTCGGCGATAAAAAACAGAAGCAGACGCTTTCCAACATGTCAGGAATTGACGTTTAGGCCACATTTTAGCCCGAAGCACCACAGTGTGCAGTGGCGACAGATAAACTTCTGGATACCCGATTGCACGTGCCTTGACCGGCAAAGCATTCTGCCCCAGTTAGTGCGTCATACGTAACAGCGGAGTCATACACCAAATGGCACAGGCAGTAAAACCCATTAGAGTTAGCTCACCAGTATGTCATGAACCACGACGGCAATGACCTTCACCTTTTAACCTGAGCCGAGCTAGGCTTTCGCTCGAAGGTATGGCAAATTTCAGATCGCTGCCAGTCCCGCCGGGCTTCCACACACTGCCTCTGACCCGCGAACTGGACACGCCAAAGATGTCCAGCCAGATGTCTTTTTTGTATTCGTCTTACTGATCAGGCGAAGTTCTGCCTACACGCCAAAACTTCAGTAAAAACAGGGCTGTCCCGAACACAGGAGACCGCATATGGTGGAAATTTCTGGCTGCAATCACGACAGTGCCCCCTACGCAGTGCGCAGCAGCTCGCATACGATGCAGTGACGCACTTGAGCGAACTCGACGAGGACCCATCACAGTCTTATGAGGAACGTAGGCGGGAGTGTCACGTCGTATTCTTGTCGAGTGTAGTACTCGTCGACGTATTCTTGTGCAGTCTCACGGCGGAGCTCTCACACAAGACGATATCGCGGAACCGGACAGCCGCCGGGGCCACGCCGCGCCAGAGCAATCGGACGACACCGAGGGCCGTGAGCCCAGATCCATTCAAGACACGACCTTCGAATGACGCACGGTAGATCCAAAGCGCTGGAGCAAGTTCTAGCGTCGGCATCATCTGCTTGATATCATCGATTCATCAGTACCTCGTGGTATGCCGAGTGATAGCTTTTTCAGCATGAAATCTTGTAATACGCAAGGTGCATGCAAAGAAAGTGCTACTGTGGCAATGCTTTTTTTCAGCCTCAACAATGAAATTATTGTCGCTATGACAACAGTCATGGACTAACGTACGGCATGCATGAATCGTTCCAGTAGGGTTATCGGATGGCGAATGGTAGACGGCAACCAATCGGTGTAATGTTGATCATTAGCGCCAGCGAAACAACATCAAAGGCTACTTCCTTGTCATGGCTATAACAACGGATTTACGACGGCGTCGACCGCTTCCCGCCCCGGCAAGACCAGCGCATACCGCGGGTCACGCCATCCCGCGCCCCTGGTTTCACCGTTGCCAAGTGAGACTGCAGCGCTGCCGGCACCCCGTCACGACCTCCTAACGAACGCCCGTTTTTTCAGCTTCCGGTAATTCTACAGGACCGTGATGACCTGGATGTTGAATAGCGCTGCTGTGGTTTCGGATGGAAGCCGTATGTGGCCACGCATTTCGCGCCGCCCAGCCTCCTGAATCCCTCCCACCTATCCGGCGGGGCGTGACTTCCCCTCCCCGCTACCTGTCCTTGCCCCATGGGACCGATCTTGGCTGTCCAGACCGCGGTCAGTCGCCCAGGATCTGCGACCTATGAACCATCAGCTTTGATGACCTCCGAGTCAGTGAAGGTATTAGACAGTATTCCCGGAGTTTTGGGTCATGTCACACCTTACGTTGGTCAGGTCACACCTGCAGGTCATGGGTCAATTGGCACTTGCTGTAAATGTGTCCAAAACTATGTTTGTGGGTGTGACGACGTCAGAAACCTGGAAACAGTGTCCAGAGACCCAATTCCATCACAACCTACACTGACGTAAGTACTAGACCACTGACGAGCTCATTGTGTTTAAGGTGCTTATGTTGAGTCCGCGATCTTCAGTATGCCGAGAGGTACCAGTTCAATGACGTCGTAGTGCTAACTAACGCTACTATTGTCGGTAATTAACATTTCAAGCCGTGCTCTACCATCAAGGGATGTATGCTGTGCTCATCCTCACTCTTGAGGACGAGCACAGCTCGGAATATTGAGCATGTCAATGATATCGCTGCTCAGCGCTGCAGCGTCGTCAACCAGTGCCCATATGCCAGCATATTGAAGATCATTAGCTTAACATAAGAACTTTGAACTTATAGGCACATTACTGCCACATACTGAGCCAGCATGAGGTAACGGTGACCTGGCTTGACCACTCTCCGCCTCATGCAACGTGGTTAAACCCCTTGCTACAAATCATAGCGGATCCCTTAAAACACCCCGATTTTGTACCTTCGATAGCAAAAATGACAAGTTTAGTATGATTTAGATGAATTTGGTCAGCCATATTTTGACATAAAATAGCCCTGGCACTTCTTTGGGACCCTGAGAATATCAAGTCGCTGGTACAACCCACTCGGAATAAATTCTTCAGTCAAGGGAGGCATGTCCCGCTTACTAACAATTGGGGAATGCCCCTTATGAGTGGGGGATGTCCCTAATGAGCGTTCGCGGCCGATGCAGCCTAGCGGTCGCCGTGGCGGGACGTGAGGGCGTTAGCATGCTGGCGGCCACCGGAGACTCGACCATCGTCGGCGGGTCTTCCCAGCCAGACTCGGCAGTGCCGCAGGACCGCGCCAGCTACAGAGTCTGCCGGGTTAACCTCGTCGGCGGGTCTTCCCAGCCAGACTCGGCAGTGCCGCAGGACTGCACCAGCTACAGGGTCTGCCGGGTTAACCTCGTCGGCGGGTCTTCCCAGCCAGACTCGGCACTGCCGCAGGACCGCACCAGCTACAGGGTCCACCGGGTTAACCTCCACAGTTCAGCTCCACGCGTCCCAACTGATGGGGGGGGGGGAGGGGGGGGCAGGGGCAAACGCGGAGGAAGCGCGCCGACCCACGTGACACCATGCAGTGCGAGGTCCTCCGTCCGTAATCTCGTAACCGCCACCTCCGGCACGACCATGATACGGTGCGCCACTGCCCAAAATAAATGCCGCATGCGACGCCTTCGCTGCGGTCAAAATGAACTATTTTAATTAGCACTGCAGGCCTGGATACCAGGAGCCACCAACTTTTTTCATCAACATGAGAGCGGGGCTATTGCCCAGGTTTTCGCGGAGCTCCCGCGGGTATATTAGTGGAGTCATCGGCAGAAAGGCCATCGTTCCTTTGGGCGAGAGCTGACACCCGTAGAGGGCAGCACAGAGGCATGTCGGGCGATTGGTCAGCTACGCAGCCATGCGATCCACCTGTTTGCCGCAATAATGGGCTAGGGAAATGACACGCACGCACGCACCCACGCACGCACCCACGCACGCACGCACACACTCAATCACTCACTCACTCACTCACTCACTCACTCACTCACTCACTCACTCAACCACACACACACCCCCCCCCACACCCACCCCCCCCCCCCACACACACACACACAGGCAGCTCAGGGTGTCAACTTGCGATCTAGAGGTCGCGAGTTCCAACCGCATCGCCAGCTGCGTTTCCGCGTCCTCATCACAGCCGGCCGACGAGCGCGCGACACTAGAAAATGGTCGTGGCAGACGGCAGGCCCACGCGTAGCAAAACCGCCGAAATCCCTCAAGTCTCTGTTGTCTGGGATGCTTGAATCGTGTGGAGCGTCCGTACCTGCACACGGCCGCCTCCCACCACGTGTCCTTGGCCTTGGAGCGAGCCGCGTGCGGCGGGTGGCGGCGGCCCGTCTGCTGCCAGTGGTGCACGTACGCCTCCAGAACGGCCACCACTGTCGTCGGGCAGGGGAGCGGCAGCAGCTGGCGACGGGTCAGGCAAGGTCACTCTCCAGACAGAGGTCATGGAAGGCTGCCAGACACCGAAAAGTCCGTGCACGTGCGTGAAGCTCACCTGGCTTACGCAAGTCTGGGGTACACTTGCTGAACAGATCGGCAATAATACATACCAACCGGCGTTACAAAAACCACATAAATTCGGTCACCATATAAGACCTCGTCACCATGAGCGCTCGAATGGAGCGTCATGATCACACAGCCACCAAATACTCCAGTTCTTCCGCTGAGAAAAGCCGGCACTCAGTTTACGAAGGCCTCCTGACCAAACTAAAATATCAGGCGACCAGTGGTATATATTATGGGAACGCGCGAGGCGTAACAGTTTTCATGGTCCTGACCATGAACAGTGTTATGAACGTCCTTGGTATTTCGCCCCACGGTTGCCTGCTACTTTCATTTCCTTAGAGCCCACCCGTAGACGTATGCCCGGTTTCCAAAATGTATTCCCGGGAATCGGTTTCTGCTTCCCGCACCAGACGGCGCCAGAGGTCATGGGCCTTACGGCGGAATCGGAACCAGAGCTTACGGATTTCATAAAGGTTATGAGCCGTGCGAGGTAACCTCATCTCCCAAAACGCCACGCTCAGACGACAGCATCCATCTCTGTGACAGAAAACGGCTGCAGTATGCAAAGGTGCAGCTTTCTCGCCGTTTCCCTACAGCCAAAAGCACACTAGGGTTACACGGCTTCCATTTGAGCGGTCTGCACATGTGCACGTAGCCAGAGGCCGAAATGTGCCGCCGCCTACGTCCCGGCAGTTCGGAGGTGAAGGCCGTGTTCTACCCGTGTTCGGTTGTGACGGGTAGACAAACCGGTTTCGCTGCCTCCACGACGAAGGCTGCTGTCAGGGTATCGGGTAGAATCTTTGGGCAGTTTTTTGCCGCGTCTATCCGTTCCCCCCCCCCCCCCCCCCCCCCGGAAGCATACTGGTAGCGCAGACCATTTCTGCCCTGTGTGGGCGCTTTGGCGGTTGAAATCAAGCTTCGTTTCGCTTTGACAGGCAAACCGTCAGACAGACAAGTTAAGAAATGCTGGATGTGTCGTAAACTAAACCGACGTAGCACCACAGTTCGAAAAAGTTTCATCCGTCTGAGTTGCAGCGATAGTTCGTCGGCTCCCAACTCAAACATAGCTGTGCCGCAGACAGACCTCGCTGTCGGCCAACTACTCCGTTGCACACATCAAGCGACTTCTTTCGCAGGCAAGGTCCCGCAGCAGACGACGCGGCCCCGGCCCTATCAAAAATGTAAACAAGATCTCCGCATGCTTTTACGGTCTATTCGCCCTGGTGTTTTTTTTACGGGCGTCGGACGTGCGTACGAAGCCCAAGATTATCCGCCATTCAGGCGCCTGCATCATACATTTGCTGAATACGTCATGCTTACTGACACGATGTCGTCACTGCCTGCAGGTAATGCTGCCTTCTTCCATCTCCAGTCTGGCCAAACTGGACATTCTTTTACAGAGGATAAGTCCCGAGTAATTTTGGTTGCATGCTCGTCCAAGAAGCAGCCTTGTTGTCATATTTGCTTGATATTTGTAGATGATTTGCGACAGTCTATCGATTGCAGATATCTTGTAAACATGAATATTCCAGATGCTTTAGGCGGACATGTGGGCCTTCGCCAGGCTTGCACTGCGACAAACAAGTCCCTTAGACCTAAGTTGAGCACCCTCGGGTATGCGTTAGACGTCGCACTTCTGCCATGACGTTGCCAGCTCCCGACGCGCGTCAGACGTCCTCTAATGAACCGCCGTTGTGAACAGCCCATTACACGTATGGTGCTGTCGGGACCGTATGTCGTGGAAGCCATGACTTTAAGAATGATGGTGATGATTTGGGCTTTACGGCGCACCCCCTGCCCTGGCCATATGGCGCCCAAGGTATCAATCAACTAAAGCAAGCAGACATTATTAATCTAGATCGCAGTTGTGGCCGCACCTTGTGATCCCGGTATTACTTTCCGGTACTGGGAGCACCTTGCCTAACTCCATGTACCGCTGCTCCTGCCTATCCGCTTCCCCTTGTGGTCACAGCCCAACTTGTGCAAACTGGACGCACTTTATCGTCCCACTAGTCTTCCTGCAGTCATAACACGACCATTTAGTTCCGACATCACTTTACAGAACCGACCAAACCTCATATGGAACTTGTGGTGCTCCACCTTGTGCTGCCAACCCCCGCCCCTGCCCACAGCCCACCCTGCGGACCCGACCGTACCGTGTGGGTGCTCCACCTTGTGCTGCCACCCCACCCTGACCACAGCCCACCATGCGGGCCCGACCGTATCGTGTGGGGTGCTCCACCTTGTGCTACCGCCCCCGCCCTGTGGCAGCCCACGCACTGCGGCGCCGGCCTCACCTTGTGGTACTTGTTGACGTAGTAGTAGTCGTCATCGAGACGCCGGCGGAGCGGCGCCGGCAGTTCGATGTGCACGGCGCTGGGCGGCGCTTCCGGCTCTGGCTCGTCGCCGCTGTCCGGCTCGCTGGCGGCCGTCGAGGCGGCGCCCACGCTCGAGGAGCGCTGGCTGTCGGCCGCGCTGTACCGACGCCGGTCTATCACGCTGCCGGACACGACCGAGCCGGGTCACACACACGGACCGACCGCTGGGTGCGCAGCGCACTCGCCTCGTCTCAGTTTGATATGGGCCGCCTCCAGACGCTCAGGGTGACGGCGTGGCCGGGGGAGAGGTGTTGCGGTGGAGACGGCATTACTGGCCAAGCCAGTCTGAGGCAGACGAAAGGTTCATGCTCCCCGAGTAGCGGCCAAAACAATATGGGGACGCAGGTGGATACGGGCGGTTGGGAGATTTGCGTCATTGTGGCTTTACGACGCACTCAGCTGCTGAGGCTATATGGCGTCGCCTGCCTCTCGCCCTGGCAGGAAGGGCGGGCACCGCGGGGAATCGAACCCCGCACCTCTGGTTTCCCAGACGCGCAGGTGTTAATGCAGACGCGTTAACCAGTACACCCCCGGCATCCCCGGTTGAGAGATCTCCAGGCGGCAGTGCGCCGCATGTATCGATAACACCGGGTCCCAGTGAACGTTCAGGCCAGTCTCCCCGGCGCTGGCTGATCGGTCGCCTAATCTGCACCATCCAATCGCCAGCCAAAGATCTATATGGTCGCGAACCACGCGCTCGTCTGTGTGCAGTTCGATTGAAACTGAGCAACAAAACAACTATTTGAGACAGGTTGAAAGAGCTGAGCCGCGATCTGGCCCATATAGACATCCATTCTTTGAGAAGCACTTTGCCGCAGCCGTCAGAATGCAGACAAGAACACAGAGAAATGATTCAATGTCACATTAAAAAAATGCATTTCGACCCACTACCGTATTCGACGCTTGGCAGCATGACGCCGTATCTGCCAGTCCTCATAGTCAGTCAGCAAACTGTGCGATCACGTACACCAAGAGCCTACACCAGCTGGTGGCGGGGTATGCGCATGTTATCAACAGCCAGGCTAGGGCCGTCACCTCCGTCCCGTTACCAGGCTGACAGCGGAGCCTGGCCTCAGTCGGCCCGTCCCCGCCACTCCATGCGACCCCCCCCCACCCCCCCCCCCCGTCTCCGCTCCATGCGCCGACGCCGACGCCGCCCCCACCAGTTCCAGCCCACCCGGCCGGTGTCACGGGAGGACCCCCAGCCCCGGTTGGCGGCGTTCTGCGGCGCGCCGCACGATGGGAGGGATCGTCTCATAAATACAAACACGATCGAAATGCACTTATCTGTACGCGGCGTTCTGAGTGTAAAATTCGACCACCATCCTTTCTGGCGCGTTCCTTTGCATTTTTGCATAACACATCTCATCGAAAGCTTTTTTTAATGCACCCATGAATGACAATATTAGGCAATGTAATTCATACAATACGTAACGGGCGTCTCATGAAGGAGCGTAAACACATTTCAAAATGCAGGAGAGGAACAAACCCATTCCAAATAATTTAATTTCCAGCATCATAAACAGCATTTGTTCAACTGTCACGGAGGCGGGCCGTGATTCCCCATTCCATACACGCAGGGTGTGCAGCCTCACTCCAGCCCACAGATTTGAGTTCCACGTCACCGTAACATATCATCGCCGTATTCTTGCGAAAAATCAGGGCTCCTGTGTCAGCTTGCCACAGACGGCGTCAAGGTATCAGCTTCTTGCGGCGGAAACTGAGCCTTTGATCTCGCGACCAGGAGACGATGGCGCCACGCGCTTGCTTGCCTGCCGGCCGTAATTGCCTGATTCCTCTCCCAGACATTGATAGCTTTTGCCGCTCTAGTAATGCGTTGTAATCGAGCCTCCATCAAAACGTTTCGCAGCAGGAAGCCACCATCTCAGAAAATCACTAAAGCCACAAACATGGAGATGGTCGGGCGTTGGGGCGCACTCATCGGTGAGGAAACTTAAAGATCATTGCCAGTAAGCTCATCAGGCGGGATGAAAACGTGGAAAATGGTGATTATGGCGCATCGCAAGGGGCGATAGCCTTGGCTCAGGTGAAGGCTGCATCTCTAGGGCTCGACTCATTAGTGGATCCTAGACCAGCGAGTGAAGAGCATGTTTCCACTCTGCCCGCTCTTGCTCTGTTGTATGCGTCAAGCTCCGTTGTCACTCAGTTCGTTGTCAAGAATAAGCATTTGCTGTTTGCTTTTCAAGTCTTATAAGACACCCGGCTTATTAAGTAGTTATTGTCATTCACGGAATTCGCAATGAATTCTGAGACCGACACATTTTCCTTGCACGTCCCGTCGTCCCGTTAGTTAGCTAAATAGAATGCAGGACTAATGGTGAGGACAATCACCACTGGCTAACTACGCCTGACCCTATCCAAAATGTACGCATTTCGCCGCAATGAGGAGAGCCGTACGCAGGACGTACGGGCATGCCACGCCGGCGGCCCCGGCTGCCTGTACTGTTACAGCCGACGGCTGCGTCATGGTGGTGCATGGCATGCTAGTGCCATTTCGCTGACGAGCTGGGACGACTTAATCAATCATTCGAATTAATTGGCTGGCAGGGTTAAGCTTATACGCGTAATGTTTCGCGATGTTCTGATTAGAACACCACTAGCCCCATGAATTCATATAATTCACAGGATTTTACCATCTATCCATGTATGCAGTCTACAGCGCAATCTGTTGAATTTTGCTTCTACCATGGACTTTATCTAAAAAAGTCTCATTTGCCGGAACTTCATATCCATTTCGATTGACTGGATGATGCAGGGGCTCTACAACGCGCGACATGAATCCTCCCAAGAGCTATTCATCCGCCATTTCCCGCGCGTCTTCCACGTCTCCGGAGTACGCGGCAGCGCGAACCCCTGCAGTTCGCTCGAGATGCGATCGAGAGAGAGTGCCGAGCTGGATCTAATAACGCAGCCGCCTGGCACGGCAGAGACGCGCCGTTATTGGCTGGGGCGGCAGAAGTTGGACGACACCGCGGGGATCCCGGCTCGCTCCAGGCCCGACACCGGCGAAAAAGCGCCCAGCTGCTGTCGGACTGCGGAGATCACGTCATTCGACCGCGACCGCATGCTGCGGGTGCCTGCTCCTCACGTGGCGGAAGTACGGCGCGCGGCGGGACGCCAGTGCCTTTCGGGTCATCGTCAGGGGGAGCGTGCGCTCGGAATTTCAGACATCTGATCAAACTACCACACTGCCAATCATGCACCAGGCTTGGAGGCATCCAAGCGCGCGCGTTCGTCGGGCAGTGCCTGGGCACAAGGCGTGTGTGGTTTCCAAATCGCAAAAACACACGTGCGTACCAAGCAGCATGACAAGCGAGCAGCTCCTGCTATTTGAGTCAGATGCGGGTTGCGCGCGAGGTCACGCGCCAACTGACTCACGTAAGGCTGACCCCCTCCAGCCCCAGTGCAGGCGAATGTGCAGTGTCGTGACTGGGGCAGTACCAGTCCACGTAGGCTGACACTGGGTGTATGACACCCGATGTCAATGTCGGTTCCGGTCAGCCGCTGCCAATTGTAAGCCGATACCCCTGCATCTCGACTGGCGCTGGCGCGGCCTCCGTCCAGAATTTCTGTAATGTGTCCTGCCAGCAGTGGCATGGATGACACCAAACACGCACCATCATGGACGGCACCAAACCGGGGGCTACATGCACCATCCACATAGCCCCGGCTAAGTGGATGGCGCTGTATGACCTACACCGGTCGACGCCCCCCCCCCCCCTATGTGGATGGTGCCACCGCGCAGCGCGGCTCGTTCGCTGGCAGTGCGCACTTCCCTAACCTCGTATCGCCGTCCTCCTGGCCTCGCACCTCCGTCCCCCGGCCGCCAGCAGCCAGCAGCTCTGGGATCACACGGTCACGTGACGCCCGAACTACGCCCGCTGAAGACACGGCCGCAGGGCACGCTCTGACAGTTGTCCCGCTACCCCCCGGTGCTCGCACCCTTGGTAAGGCGCACGCGTGGGTTCTTTGAAGACGGTGCGCCGTTGGATCTCGCGAGTGAACGGATGTTCAGTGCTTTATCACGCGCAATGGCCAGCGAGAAATACACCGGTCACAAACATTTGGACCACATAACAAATCATAAACAGGAACACAGCACGGCTCGCAGAATGTGGCAAGGGCAGCTGGCAACATCAGCCCTTATGTCATCATCGACAAGCTGAATAAATAATAACGGATGGATGAGGAGCCGCCGGCAATTAAAAAAGATATCTTCTTTACATTCTGCACCCCTTTCAGAATGAGATGACTTGCTATTAAGTCTCATACTGTTCTCGCTTTCACTTAGCACCTCCTTTCAGAATGAGATGTCTCGCTCTGAAGTCTCACCTTGTCGTGCAGCGTCACGCCGCGCCGCACGAAAAACGCGGTGCCGGCAGTACCAGCTTGTATTGGGTGCTGGGTATATTTGGGTGCCCACACGTTATCGATCGTCACCAGCCGATGGATGTTTTACCACGGATGTTTAATTAAGTCACTGGACTCCTTAATGATGCGTTCGCCGACATTCTTTAATTCCACACGCCCCGTGCGGGACTGCATAGCGTGTGAAACCAACGAAAAGGACGCCTCCTGGTGAGTTCCCACGAAATCTGTGAATTCGTACGAAATCCGCAGGTCGTCTTCATGTGAATAGATAGCATGCGTCATCTTGGCATCCTATATTTGGCTCCAGGGATACGGTTTTAAGCGCTATGATTATGCGCTACCAGCGAACGGGTTCATCCATCATGATCATGGAATTCGGAAGTTATGAACAAAAAGACACATTTCTATTTTTATTTGGTTCCGTTTATTTATTTAATTTAGTGTTACATTTAGTAGCGTCTCCCACATGCCGACAGTAAAAGACCCACCCGCATCGGATTTTGGGACGGAGGAGCTTTGGAAGTCAAGGCACGCGTTGGACTGGGTTTGACTAGGTTTGGTTCGGTCGAATTAAGCTGGGGTTAGGTACTTAAGCCCACGCATCGTTGAATACACATTGATGCACCACACACGTCGCTTCCATTCTCAGTCAAGACTATCTGTCAAACTGTCGAATTCTGACATGACACTCATGTTGTCCTGTGTGGCCCAAGGAGCAAATGATGGCACACGGGCTGAACAATGCATCCGGGACTCGGACTCGGACCCAGACTGGAGTCAATCATCCCCACGGACTCGGACCCAGACTGGAGTCAATCATCCCCACGGGCTCGGACCCAGACCGGAGTCAATCAATGACCAAGGACTCGGATCAAGACTAACGTACTCCAGGCACCGTAAATCGGAGTAAGACTGCGGGTTATCAGGCCCACGTCCGGTGTTGCAGGTCAAGTGCGCAGGGAATGAGGAGAGCGTTAGAAAGGGAAACTGGATGACGGTGACGTGGACCTATCTTCCATGACCCAAGACCCTGTATACCTCATGAACGACTTCTTGTGAATATTATCCGACAACCTCCCGAAGTTTGGATCATGTGTGCCGCATCATCGCTAACACGGAGGCATGAGCGGCCATGCTGTCCTTTCACCATGAACAGAAAACAGCCTGTGAGAAGACAGCCGTTGCATGCCGTTTCCATGGCATCGCGCATACTTGAATGACCTTTAAAAAGTCTACACAAAAAAATACTGCACATCTGCAAGCCTTCAAGCTAAGGACCTAGAGGTTTCTAGGCCTTAAAAAGGCGGGACTGTGAACTGCATTTAATGGTATTCAACGTGAGCGTTTCAGTTTAAAAGCCCACATGAATGTGGAACACTCCCTTTAAATTATGCCTGAACACTGTGTTTTTAAAAACACAAACCTCTGCTAGCTGTAGAAAACGGAAAATATTTCCGATACCAATTTCTTGCAGCTTTCGCAACTGAGCCAAGCGCCGCGGAGACAGAGTTTTGTGCCTAAAACCCACCTAGCATTTTGGCACGTACGTGGCACAACTGTGCCGAGATTCCGATCACACCAACTTAACGTTTGCGCCCAAAGTGCCCGGTTTATAGTTATGCACAGTTTCCATCCACCCGGCTGTGTGTTGATTGGCAGTTCTCCTCCACGACAGTTATACACAAGTGATTGTGTTTTGACAGCCATTCTCTTCACTTTTCTTCTTCTCTTGATTCTGGGCGCACAAACACCGGCTGAATTCATGCGCATTCGTAATGCACCGTGACGTCCCCAGCGCGTGCCGCTCTGTATTACCCGGTGTTGTGTATGACAGCGCAACTGGAAGACGACAGGCAACAACGCCCGGTCAAGTATCCAAACGACCAGGTGAGGTGGAAATCTATACGACGGGCGTTATTTTCACAAGTCTCCTCACCTTGAGACGCCGCGACACCCACAAAAAACACAGAGTAAGGATTCCGGGAGGGCGGGATGCTGACGATGTTCCACAGGAACGACGCGGGCAGTGCTCTACACGAACATCGGGGAATACCCAGTTTGCAGAACGGCGTCTCACTGGCCGCAGGGGCTGCTCCACCGCAGGGACTGCTCCACTGGCGATCCAATCGCGCCCAAAATACCTTGCTAGATCCGGGTCGTCCAGCGTCCTCCTCTCACGACAAAAGAAACTGACTCCGACGTTCCGGCACCATGCGGTTCATCACTCAACTCTAATTGATGAAGGAGGCGGGGGAGCTGTAGCCAGACCGACCCTTAAGGACTTAAGGACTTGACCACAGGTGGTGGGATTATGGTTATGTCGCCGCGACATGGTCACAGCTGCAATATGAGCAACTGCGACCTCCGCCGCCAGCTCAGCGAATTATGTAGAGCTCCCAATCCAGCAGCATTGAGGGGTGAAGGCATAGAACATTGATTAACTATGCACGGACGCACGATCAGCTCAAAACAGCAGCTGGCCTCGCACGCGACGATCAGGCATGCCACAGAGCGATGGGGATTGCCGCTGGCACGTCCGTTTGACGGCATGCTGAACTGGCATTGCATTCATCAGGATGTTTGGTTCAGGATCACTTCATGAGCTCGAACCGGACGTCAATGAACCCTTCATATTCGATCGTATCCACTTAAGCACAGGGATGCCATAAGCAGCTGTTCATTAAGCATCAAACCGATGCCGAGTGCTTTTTGTAAGCGTTTGTGCCTTTTCAAGAGACATTCGAATGTTTTCAAATATCTGAACGCTCCTTTTGGCACTATAGTAATCGCCGAATCCGAATGTGAGGACGCCGGACGTACGTGAGGAACATTACGAGTTCGCATGCTCAGCTCTAGTTAGCACATCGTAGTGAACTATCCGACACGATTGCGACAGAAAGAGGCGCGAGGCCAGCGCGGAAAAATATATGCATCAACGGCATCACCAATTTTCCACTGAATTAATTTAAAAATGATACTTCGGCGAGCCCGATCTTTCTTCTGGCGACCCGTGCAGTGCTCCACCGCGTGTCCACGCCGCGCGGCTAGCAGGAGTACGCGATGAGTGAGGCAACTATCCAGACTGGACAGCCCGCACTCCGGTGCCGCAAGCGCACTCACCCCGGCGGCAGGAACTTCTCGGCCAGCGCGCGCTGCAGCTTGCGGTTGGCCTCGCTGTACTCCAGGATCTGGTCCTCCACGACGTACCGGTCCCAGCCGGAGTTCCAGCCCTGGCGGTGGGGCGTCTCAGAGAGTGGATTCACGCCTCCGACGACTAACGCCGAACTCCCGAGGTGGAGCGCAGGGAAGTGATGACAACTGTCTGGTACAGCAAGGCCAATGGACCATTGGCAGCATCATGACAACATCAATATCACATAAGGTGTGCATTACAACGCACTGTTTTATTCGTGCGGCATCTTAACTGAGCCAAACGGAACGGGACGTTCGCTTACCTGGAAATGAACGAGGCACTCCACCGATCGCCGTCCATTTCTGTCCCTCCTTTCAACAACTTCCAGAACCTGGAAAGAGCTCTTTTATAATTGCAACAGCATCATCTAAATAGTCGCTTGCACAAAAGAGAGGATGCACACATTACTAATGCAGGCACCCCTGCTCAAGAGACCCTGCCCTTCCGTCTTGATCGTTAGTCAGAGACAGGCACGATATCCACGGGACATTTGATATTGATCGTCATTTAAACTTGCAAGCTCTTGATGCTTTACCTTCACATAATTAACAACAGAAATCTGATGATGATGACGATTCCGGCTTTCGGGCGCACCGACTACGTTGGTAACAACATAAATCTAAGAGCGCCTTTGTGTATGCAGTAAAAAAGCACAACAAAATAGCAATCCACATGCAGCCAACACTGCAGAGCTGACAAATCAGCAAAACAAGTTTTTTAATGGGACCAGGATTGACAGGGCTGACAGTTACATTTGATGAACACATGGCAAATACCAACATGTGAATGCATGCAAATTTGGCCAAGGCCCATCATCATAACATCAGCCAACACACCTTCGCTTCATAGAGCACTTGCGCTTTGGTGGTGTCCGGCTCATAGCAGAGCACGCGGTCGCCGTCTGCGAAGCGCGGCTGGCCGCGCGTGTGCACCATGGCGCCCGGAGGCGCCCGCCGGCGACGGCCACGGGTTCCGATCAACCCAGCCCGACTCTACACCGACAGCCGCAGTTGGCAGGACCAGAAGGTCCCAGCCTGGCTTGTCGCCTGGCAACACCAGTACTTTGAACAACACACATTTACATGAGCATTGCATCTGGAGATGGCTGCGTACTGTTTTTGTTATTTTCAAACAGACCAGTGATGACGCATTAAATAAAGAATGTGCTTTCCAAACTAAAAATGGCATACATAGCATTGCTTCATGAAACAACTCACTAGTAACATTTGATTTGCCCTTACAACTACATGTTAAGTCAGCCATTTCCTGCCCTGTCATGTTCGTAGTGGTTTCCTTATCACATATTACACAACCCTTATGGGATGCCCATAACTTACATTACTGATAGAGGCGGAGGTGGCTGTGATGGAGTGTAAACCAATGGGGCATGTAGGGGAGTGGACATTGGGCATAATGACAAAACATGCAGTGTGTTTTAAAGATTTTATCCCAACCTCTTGAATGAATGGACTTCCGGGATCAGAGCTTAACTAAGCAGTGCTTGTTGTGTGAGCCCTGACACCTACCATCTGATCACTTAATCCCACACCAACCACATAACTTGGTGATGAAAGGTTTAACATGCCACAATGTTTGGCACCACTGGTCCTGCCATCTGCTCTGATCACATGACATTTCCTGTGGCCACTGTGACCATACCTGTCAGGACAAATACCAAGCTACTAAACAGGCTCAAACCCACCATGTCACAGTCAAGTTTATTGGAAGGCAGGAGCTCTGATCAGGTGAGCCACCATGGGTGGCAAAACTTCTGTTGGGGATTTTCCTAACACTCTTCATAAATATTTGAAAACTTGAAGCTGGACATCATTGGCTTACTACCACATCAAGGAACATGACTGCTTCCATTTGTGATTTGCCCCACTAGCTGAATTGCAGGTCAGGCAACATTTTAGGGGATGCTATGTTTGACACAGCATAGGAAATCAAGGTAGGAAGTGGAAAATTTCCCAACATCCAAAGGCAATTTAAAGGAGGGCTGAAACATACCATTGATAACAGCTCTCAATGGCAAATATAAGTAGCCCACAGGCCACCAACACCCATCAGTAATAACAATACCAGTGTTGTGGCATTCATATTCCCTGCCTTCTGAGGCAAACCCCTGTATCTATTCATATATGCAAGCTTGTCATGCATGATCAGCATCCTTAGTAAAGAATGTCACAAGCACAATCTATCTTGATGGATGCCATAACTGCAAAATAAAGCTAATAATGGAACTGCACAACAAACAGCAGAATTATAATGTAGGACTGACTGATTATGTGTGATTGGGGCCTTATGACACACTCAGCTGCTGAGGCTATATGGCATCACCTGCCTCTCACCCTGGCAGGAAGGGCGGGCATCGCGGGGAATCAAACCAGGTACCTCTGGTTTCCCAGATGTGCAGTGGTTAACAGAGACGTGTTAACATCTGTGTTAACCAGGGTGCCCGTAGTGCAGTGGTTAACACAGACGTGTTAACACAGACGTGTTAACCACTACACAACTGGCACCCTGGACTGACTGACTGACTAGCTGCTAATGATCACTTGTAAAATGTGAGTCATGTGAGTCTCCACATTACTGACTTTTATCATGTTAGTTGTTCTTATCTCTATTAGCAACTCATAGGTTACTTTACCAATCATGATACTGACAGTCTGTACAAAAGCATCCTTAAGTATATTATATACCCTATGAGGGTTAGGTTAGGTCTTGAAGGGTTAACAGGTGACTATAACAGAAGCTAAAGGTGAGGGCTTAATGTTCAGAGCACTGTAACAGCAAGTTACAGCTTGTGCATCATATATACTTGTCTGCAATCAATGGTAAACATGCAGTCGAGATATTTGGAGCAGATATAATCCTGCAACAAATGGGATAGTAAATTGCAATATTTACAGCTGATTCTGTGTCATATAGAACACCAACACATAATGATGCTTGCCATAGCACAATTCAATAGTTTCTGGATACAATTTTTATAAGGTGCCCAAACTTGAAAATGTACCCCATCTCTGCCCCAACAAAATATTGTTAAAATCTGGCATGGTTGCAGACATGCACATGCAAAATCCCCTATAGTTAGCAAGGCAGTTTGCAAACTACTGCATGTATGCCTGCATTACAAAACTTTCAATGTCAGCTTATCCTGAACAAATAAAATACTACCACTTCTGTGACTTCATGAGTACCTAAGGTAATGCCTGATATACAAGCCATAATGGCTCAAATGCTGTCACATATGCATCAACCACAGTGACAATGCCAAGATAAGAGCTTCAGGAATTTACTTAACCTGATGACCCCAGATAAAAAACATCCAGCAAAATAACAATAGGTTGGGAGAGCTTGAGTATAGCCCAGGGCAGCACAGCAGGATGATAGAGAGGCTGGAGGATGTTTATGTCATCCCATATTTACCACATACGATTAGACTACCGCACCAAAACATTTGCTCAGTGCACGAGCCACTGGCTTACGCGCTTTGCAAAACGTAAATAAACAAGCGTCAATGTGTGACCCTAAAATACTGCATAGTCTGTGTCACGTCTAACTTGTTGCAAATCTCGTCCCATCTAGAAAGTTTACATTGCTTTGAGGCGAATGCATCATGTGAGTGACAATAGAATGTATTGGAAAACTTGTAGACACAACGCTTTTTATTGATGAGTAGAAGCTGACACCGTTTATCTCATTTCTAATGATTCAAAACAGGAGTCACATATCATCGTATGCAACACTTTCAGGGATTTCACATATTTCAACAAAGTAAAAAACATTCATATAGCAGCTCATTTACTACACTAAATAACAACAAATATGTGATTCTTTTCTTTTCAGATTTGGAAAGCTTATCACATCTAGAGGCTTTCTAAAAAACGGGCAATAGCTCCAAGTCAATTGACTTTAGCAGTCCTTTAACGCCCGACGGGGGTAGGGCGGATGAGAAACCTAGATGACCAAAACAATGTTTAAAGAGTTTGTGATGGTTGGAAGAAAGTTAATTGCAAAAAATTGTATCAGAAAACATAATTATTCATCATTTATATTGATACTTTGCTCCATATTTTAAAAAAAAATTTCAAGCGAAGTTAACTACACGACTGCTTTTGTCTCATCACTACAATCGGCCTTTTCCGCGTCAAGATCGTAAAGGTATGTTGGGGGGTAGCAAGTTACGGTATTTACTGTTTTTATTCTGAGGTTACCGAGTAGTTCATCTTAATTCGATGATTATATGCGTGGGATGATACTTTGGTCAGGTGGACAATTTCTTTGAATCTTTTGTTTAGCTGAGGCTTTGTTAAAATCGTATTGACCGCCGTGCAGTCCCTGCCTTTACACCTTTTGTGTCGGAAACTTCATACGATATTCTCAGCGATGTTGAAGCACATTGACCATATCAAACGGTTAGGAAAGGCCTCGATCAGTCTCTGACATTGGCAGCATGGCACGGCTGTAATTCCAAATTGTGGGATCCACTAAATGTGTGGTGATTGTTTATTTTGCCATCACAACCCACAAGACATTTGGAACATGTATTTTGCACCCAGGGCAATATGAAAGCCACCACAAAATTGAGTCTGATGTCCTATTACCTGCACACCTTTACAGTACTTGCCAAAGTTTTGGAAACAGGGTTATTGGTCTTATGGCCATAATATATCAGTCAGTATCAGGAAACAGAGGTATTGAATCATCTTACCATACATGTTTTAAAATGTCATTTGGCATGTTTGTCCCAGTGTTGTCAGGCTCTGGATCTGGTGATACCACAGTTGAAAGTATGGAAAGGTTCGGCATGGGATGTCATATGTCATCAAGCCTGGACTTGAACTGTCAGACTGAGTTAGGCGATACAGCCAGATGTGGAAAAGCATTCCAGTTGTTGGCAACCCACATGATAAGAAGTTTGCTGAATTAGTCATGGACAGGCATCCTAGCTGACACCTCCATGAAACAGCTGATTATTGCTGTAACTATGTTTCCTCTGGGAGGAGGAGGAGGACTGTAGTACAGCCAGGGTGACTGGAGAAGTCATGAATTTGCACATCAACCTTTGGCCTATGATCCATAAAGATGCCCAGGTCCTTCTGGGTGGGCTTGGCAGCTTCATCCAAGAGGAAGGTCATTCTTCAGTTGCAGTTCTGAATATGCACCACCCTTCACTTCGCTGCACTAAAGACAAGCAGCCACTCTTTCGACCGGTTGGCCAGGGCATCAAGGTCAACTTGTAGAGATGGGTCATTTGGGCCTTGGACACAACAGTGGATCTTGGTGTTATCCATGAGTATTTTGACCATGGTGTCATCAGTGAGTATCTTGACCATGCCTCACGCTTGATCTGGTAGGTTGTTCACAAAGATTACAAATAGCACAGGTCCAACCACTGATCATTGTGGGGTACTGCTGGTGTTCGATCTGACTTCAAGCACTGGACCTGCATTTGCCGCATTGGGAGGATAAGGAAAGCCCTAATCTGGTGCAGCTAGTTCTGGCACTGTAAGCATGGAGCTTGGACAGTAATGAGACACAGAATCAAAGGCTTTGCTAGAGTCTGGGTATGCCACATCCATATCCATCTCCACGCTCTACTGCGGTGCTCCAATCTTCCACAACTTCTAATAGCTGGGTGATACAGGACTGCTCTGGGAGAAACCCATGCTGGGCTGCGTGGAGAAGTCCAGACTCGAGAATCAATCAATTAGGGCATCCGTGATGAAAGATTCAAGTATCTTGGTAGGGATGGCAGTAA